AAAGAGAGACAGAAAAGGAGAGAAAGAAAAAGAAAGGAGGAAAAGATGGCAAAGAGATGGAGGGAGGGAGAGAGGCTCTCCCACCACCACCCATCAAGCCCCTGCCACCCCCACCCCCGCGGATCCCTTACTTACCGCTTCGGCGGTACTTAGGTAAGCCAGCAGTGGGGCTCTCCTGGTGTCCCCTGAGCTGCAGCGCTCCTGCGCGGGCCCGGGAAACCCGGCAATGGGGGTCTCCTGGCATCCCCCAAGCCGCAGCTCTCCTGCGCGGGCCCGGGGTATTTGTGCACATGTAATACATATTTCTTTTCTTTCATATTTGTCCTTTCCTTATTTGGAGTGAACATTATGTGTTTGCTTTGTGTTTATAGTTATATCAAAGGAAGCTGAGGTGACCCAAAATAATCTGGCTAATTATAGGCTGTATTAAAGGGCTAATTTAATAAGTACGTTTGGGTGGACTGGGTCCTGGTTGAACTAGAGAGAGAGAGAAATTAACCCGAAATTAAATAGGCAGGAAGAGTTCTTCCCAGTTACTCATGGTAGGAAAGGCATCATTTTTTGCTTGCTAGGGCTGCATAAGGTAGCTGGGATTGTGCGTGTGCCTGGTATTGTACTTCTGGAACCCGGGGATGGGTGTCAAAGTCCAACATGCCTGCTCCTTCCTGTTTTTCTTACTCATTTTTCCTTGCTGCCGCCACTGACTCTTGTCCACCCTGTTTATTCTCATGCGTATGAATACAAGACTCATCAAATAAGTACAGGTAGTGAATCACAGCGGTAGCAGATCTAGGGCAGTGTGGGGAAATTAAACAAGGATGCAAAGGCAAAATTGATAGTAAGGCAGCAGTGCGGGGTGGTGGTTCTGTTTGAGGAAATTTAGAGAGGAATTTGAGAGGAAATTTAGCAATTTGAGAGGAAATTTAGCAATTTATGTCCCAGAACCAAATTTCTCAGAAATCAAGCTGCTGTAGAGCCCTACTACTTATACTTGCTGTTGCTAAATCACGAACTTTTATAGTTAGCTAAACGTCTGACAATGAACTAGTTGTGCCAGTGCCCACTTTATGGTAAAAGTAAAGGCTCTCTGTGAAATGTTAACATGCTATTTAGCTACGTTAACCTGTAATGTAAATAGCAGTGTGCTACTAATTTTGGCTAGTTAGGATAACACCAATTAATATTACCCTTTTTTCCTTTTCGTTTCAAAAAGCCAAATTAAGTCCCAGGCTGTGGTCTGAAGGCCTATAATAGAGGAATTTTGCTGATAAGGAGGTCTGTGTCAGGGAAGTCCCTGGCAGTCCCACATAGGGGGGGTCCCACATCCCACATGGGGGGTGGAGAGAGGCCCTAGGGTAGGGAACATCTGAACACCTGGACTCTTTAACATCTTAAATATTAAATATTGAACCCACTATACGACCACTGGGAATGTTTGGATGCGGACCGTCATCTTTTGGGGCTTTTGAACTGAAGATATCGAGCACTATTTGTACTGGTTTTTAAACTGTATAAAATGTTTTTTAAATTACATGAAATGTATGTTTTTTACTGTTGCAAGATTTTTTGCCTTTAAGCCGCCCTGAGCCCTACGGGGGAGGGCGGGATATAAATCTGACTAATAAATAAATAAATAAATATAAATGGTCTGAACCTAGGACCCAGGGGAAGAACAGGAAGTGGCTGAGCATTGCAAGCTCCCCCCTGCCCCCCCCTGTCTAACTCAGAGTGGCAGTGGCTCTCAGTTTTTTTTTTTTTTACAGGATAGTTTGAGATAATAATTTTGGGTGTCCTCTTCAGCACTTGTTCTGTTATTATTCCATTGGCGCTCCACATTAGGAGGTGTGTGTTAAAACTAATATTTCTCTGCAAAACTGGAGTCCCTTGAGTTTGCAGAACTCTGTATTTTAACCCTGGCTGGTCCCAAACCCCCCCCCCCCCCGCACACCCTTAAAATGTGTCTGCCTAAATTGGAAAGGTGGGGGAATAGTGGGATTTTGCAAAGCAATTTTTTAAAATAAAGTACTACAAGGATCGGAGCTGCGGTGGCTCAAGTGGTTAAGATGCTGAACTGCAGGCTGTGGAAGGTCAGTAGTTCAGCAGTTCAAGACCCGGGTGCCGCAAGATGGGGTGAGCTCCCATCTCTAGTTCCAGCTCCTGCCAACCTAGCAGTTCAAAAGCGAGAAATTGCAAGTAGATAAATAGGGACTACTTCGGTGGGAAGGTAACAGCGTTCCGTGCGCCTCGGTGTTTAGTCATGCCGGCCACATGACCACGGAAACGTCTTTGGACAGCGCTGGCTCTTTGGCTTTGAAACGGAGATGAGCACCGCAATCCTAGAGTCGGATTCGACTGACTTTCGAGCAAGGGAAACCTTTACCTTTACTACTACAAGGATCACAGCAGAAGGCCTCCCCCCAGCTCTTACCCGTGAGGAGGACTACGGAGGCTGGGTGCAGTGACTGGGAAGTTTGGCAGCCCTGCCCTCTGCTTCCTGCTCTCAGAGGCAGCCCTGCCCTCTGTTCTTTATACTCCAAGGCAGCTCAAGCTCAGAACAGCAAGAATAGGCAGGGGAGGGGGGAAAGAAGAGAGCCCCACTCCCAGGTTGAATTAAAGGCCTGGGCGGGCCGATGGGATTGATGCCTCTAGTTTAAAGGTTAAGTAATCTGCTTCCCAACCTACTACTTGAAAAGTGAGTGGGTGAAACTAACTCGCATACCCGTGTTTGTACCTCTGCAAAGAAGAGTCTTCATTGCATTTAAAATAAGGATGCTTTATTTTAAGTGTCTGTTATCTTGCAGGGAGAGTCCTGTGGGTCTGGGCTACATCCCTGAAGATTTCATCCCAATGTGAGGGGGTGGGTTTACATTCAGAGAAGTGTTTCCCACATAAAACCATGTATTGGATTAACTGATTTTAATTGTGAAATAATTTTTTTTTAATGATACAAGATCCAAACATTATATATTTTTGAGCATCCCTGACACATCATAAGTGAACAAGGAATGAGGAAGCAATGTGTCTCTGGGTGTGGTATTTCTTTCCCTTCCTGGAATACCTCCAGGTAATTTTTTGATGGCACTGAAAGTCCTTTTCATATACAGCCATGTATACTGGAAGCCCAGCAATGGGATTACATGTACCTACAACGAATGCTCCCAATACACATGATCTTCTTGGTGGACATTTATCATAGCTGTACACGTACAGAAAAGCTGTGCATATCTGGTGCATTGTGGATTGTGTGGTATCCATGGCTCTAACATTTGAAAAGGACTACTTTTTATAAGTTTCACGGCTTTACTGAATAGAACGCTCTCTGCAGGTACTTACACATGTTCCAATCAGGGTTTTTTTTGCAACAAAACATGGAGTAGTTTAATAACAGCCCTCTTCTTTAGCGTCACTGGCAAGCACTGGTCTACTTAATGAGCCCAGAATACTTTCGGCTCTAATGCAGCTCAAGTTTCCCCGAGTTATTTATTGCCTGGATCACTGTGCTTTATTCCATACTGTGATTTGGGGTCCTTTGAGAGGACCTTGTCCTACACACCAGACTGGCTTCATTTCTGATGCTGGTTCTTTGGCCTTCTCTTTCACAGGCTTGGGATATCTTTTGCTTACTATGGTGTCATCCTGGCCAGTGCTGAGTTACTAGAGAAGAAACTGGTCTGTGGCACAAGAGGAGGAGGAGGAGCTGAAGAGGCAGCCGCTGGCAATGATGCCGAGGAGATCCGGAGCCCTTGCTTATGTCATTTGTTTGCCCCTTCCGATTACCAGGTCATGATCATCAGCACAATTGGAGAGATTGCATGTAACTTTCCTCCCTTTTTTCTTTTAATATGCTATTGTCTGAAGGGAAGGGAGAGAGAGGGAGAGGGAGAGAGAGCGAGAACATTGCAAAAGTACAGTCTGGGAACTCCCTGACGCATCAGGAGGGCGCTTCATAGCAGCTTTCGTCATCCACAGGACTTGGTCCTATTTAGCTTTCTCCTCATGGCTCTTAGGGCCAAGTTAGAGGGAGAATTGTGGTCAGATCTCCTGTCTCATCTTGAAAAGCAGGAAAAGCAGCACACAAGCAAACCCTGTGACATGAACAACATTTATAAGATTCACATTGCTTTTCTAAAACTTTACAAAATTGCAACAATTTGTCCCACAGTCTCACTTATACAATATTGTAAAAAAGTCCACATGGTCCAACATAATGAGTACCCGGTTGTGAACTCATTTCAACTTTACAGTCTTCCTCAGATTGTAATCCTATATTTAAAGGTGTCAGTTTCTTAATCCAGCTCAGTATTGTAAATTCTTAATTTCCTTCATAATATCCTGGTATAAACCATAATAAAAATCCACATGAAGTTCTGGTTCCATAAGAAGTGTTTATTTTGGGAGCAAGCCAATCCTCTGTAGGTACAAAGAAGCCTCCTGGATTTTACTGGCTATGCTCTCCATAAACACTAACTATTTATTTAGGTAGTAGCAACCCAGCCCTTATTTTATCTGGCTAGAGCCTTCATTATTCTGGCTGGCAAATGCTCTATACTATTTCACCCGGCTAAAGCCTTCATTTTCTGGCTGGCAAATGCTCATCTTGAAAAGCAGCTGCAGGGAAGGGGGATTGTATTGGGTCCATAGTTTGTGGTGGGAAAGGGTTTAACTCCCCTGTCTGTGCCATTTCCCCAATTTAAATCTTTCTACCCCCCCCCCAGCCGCTTTTCAAAGAAAATAGAAAAGATGAGATATTCAATCACAGACTACCAATGTTTCATCTGGTTTGCCTATAGGTAACAAGATGCTCTGTCTTCTTGGTGCTTGGGGGGGGGGGTCAACAGTGGGAGGGCTTCTAATGTCCTGGCCCCACTGCTGGACCTCCTGATGGCACTGGTATTTCTGGCCACTGTGTGACACAGAGTGTTGGACTGGATGGGCCTTTGGCCTGATCCAACATTGGCGTCTCTTATGTTCTTATGTTCTTAACAAGTTTAATCATATTGAGGGCGGCTTTTGCCACCTCAGAGATTGGCTGTAGTCCCAACAACCAAGATCTGTGCACTATTCACATGCCACACCGTTCTCTCATGAATAAAGTGTGGCTTCAAGTAGCATTTGCTTAATGCATGGATATTGCTGTCTCATCACCATATTCCTTCATGATGTGTGTTCCGTAAAATATAAGTGGAGTTCTGCCATGCTTCCTATTGCCCACATCTGTATTGCCAGAGACATGGAAGTCTGAACAGTTCTTGCAAATAGGTCCAGATGTTATAACATTAGTAGCTGTTGACAGTACCTTCCTTGAGTCAGTGAGCCTAGACTGCAGGTAAAGAGGGCTGTGTTGAGTAACCTGATTTTTGCAGTCTTGACGTGAAGTTTCTTTTTTCCATTCATTGTTTTCCAGTAAACCCTGTAAACATTCTGGGCATCAATTTGCTGGGGAGGCGACTGAGCCTGACAATAACTATGGGGTGTACAGCACTGTTCTTCCTTCTCCTCAACATATGCACTTCCAGGCAAGTATGTCAAGTATTGGCATATTAAGATGGAAAAAAAAGTTTGCACATTGCACCTTGTATACCCTAGAGCTTGTGATGTTCCCAAGGCATTACCAAGAGATTGTGAGAATTGAACACACTGTACAATGGCCATTCAATTGTTATTGACAGATCATAATTCTTGACTGGCAATTGGTGGAGGAATGAGGGTGGGGCTTACCAGCAGGAAAACTAGGCCTAGGCTTGCATTGCTGGCAAAGTGTCGCTGTCATGGCCTACATGCACTGGAGACACTCTGATATTTGGGCAAATACCAGAGTATCCATGTGCTGCTGGCAACACAATGACATGATTTACAGTGCACAGTGGAAGTGACAGTATCATGTTACTGGTGATGCAGGCTGAGGCCTAGTTTTCCTGCCTCTAATCCCCCCACTGCCCAGCTGATAGGTGCTGTGGGGAAGAGGCCCTGGAATAGGTGATCCCCAGCCCCTGGGCTGGGCCTGGTACCCCTAACCAGGTGGCAGAAAGTGTTGTCAAGCTGCAACCAATTTATGGCAACCCTGTAGGGTTTTAAAGGCAGGAAACAAACAGAGGTGGTTTGCCATTGGTTGGCTCTACGTAGCAGCTCTGGACTTCTTTAGTGGTCTCCCATCCAAATACTAACCAGGACCAACCTTGCTTAGCTTCCAAGATATGATGATATCGGGTTAGCCTGGGATATCCAGCTCAAGTCACATCATATCCTTCAATTGTGACATACCTATTCTCATCCCAATAATTTTTGCTCCATCTCTCTCCCCTGTTGTACAACAAGCAGAGGTCATTTCGGGGGGGAGCTCTCTCCCCTGTTATACAACAAGGAAAGCTTTACTCCAACCACCTTTACTCTCCAACAGCTTGTCTTCCATTAATTTTAAAGCCAATAGGGTATTCATTTAATAAATTAGGTGTCCTGGAAGAACATCGGGTTGGATCCTATGGACCCATGCTGCAAACAGCAGTGCTTTCCACCCTTTGCACAGAGCCTTCTGCTGACTCAAAAGGTGCATCAGTGGAAGACTCCTTGTGCTGGAGCAATTACCCTTGCTTTTAGTGGAATGGAGCCATACTATAGTTATTCTATACTCTTATTACCACTGTGTTGAAAATATAGCTCAATGGCTGGCTGCCATATGCGCCATACTGGTTGCAAGTTATGCACTGAATGGGGACACAATTTGGAAACTCCAGCTGCTGCAGAATGCCGTGGCTCAGATATTATCAAGAGCTAGGTGGCACATGCATATTACTTTCATTCTGCAGTCACTGCTGATCTGTTACCTGGCTCCATTTAAGATATTGGCTCTCACATACAAAGCCCTTCATGGCCTTGGACCTTCATATCTGCGAGACTGTCTCTCCCCCTATGCTCCACCACAACAGTTTTGCTCATCCAAGCAGGGCCCTCTGAAGGTGCCACCTGCAAATGGGTAAAATCAACAACTGCTCGTACATGTGGCTTTTCCATCTTGGCCCCCACCTTGTGGAACGGCCTGCCTGAGGAGGTCAGGAAGGCTCCCACTCTCCTGGATTTCCACAAATTATGCAAAATGGAATTATTCAAGAGGGCTTTTTAAACACAAATAATAGGGTAGCACTGTACAAAATATTCACAAAGTTACTTGGATAAATTAATAGGGATTGTGGTCTATACTATTGTGTATAGATTGGTGTAAACTGGACCCTACTATATAATTTTGCTTCATTTAATGTGCCATGCCAACAATTTGCTTCAGTTCTGTTTCATGGTTGGTTCATGGTTTATTGAATGTCCCATCCTGCCGAACAAGTCTTTGAGCCCCCTATGTTGGAGATCCTGTGAGCAGGAAGGCACTGCTTTACATGTGTGGTGGGAATGCCATCTGGTTCAGGACTTTTGGAAGGTAGTTCATAAAGAGATATCCGACATCGTGGGTCTTCCATTTCCTTATTCTCTGGAATTTTTGTTATTGGATTTTTGGGCTGACTCTTTGCTTGATAAAAAATACCAAATTTCTTGTCTCTACATTGGCTTCTGCTCTCTTGGTCATTGCCAGGAATTGGAAATCCCTCACTGGATCCTTGCTTAATAAATGGTACCAGAAAATCTGGGAACAATTCCTGATGGGTAGGATTATGCATAATCTGGGGTTTGGGGGGGATTTACGTACAGTAATCCCTTTATTTGAATATGACAAAATATGGAAACCAGTCTTAGAATTTCTGTGTGTTGGTCATTGTGAGCCAGTTTGGTGTAGTGGTTAAGTGCACGGACTCTAATCTGAGAGAACTGGGTTTGATTCCCCACTCCTCCACTTGTACCTGCTGGATGACCTTGAGCAAGCCATATTTCTGGCACAGCTGTCCTTGAAAAAGAGCTGTTTCTGTCAGAGCTCTCTCAGCCCCACCTACATCAAAGGGTGTCTGTTGTGGGGAGGGGAAGGGAAAGGAGTTTGTAAGCCACTCTGAGACTCCTTTGGGGAGTGTATGGCGGGGTATAAATCCAATCTCTTCTCTTCTTTTTCTTTGGTTCTGTAACAGATTGTTAATTGTTTTATTATTGTAACTTTAATTTAAACAAATAAAAGGATTTTTAAAAAATGAAGTAAATTTCCCCCCCATTCTGTTGATTTTATTGACTTACTCTGTGTAATCCACCTTGGGTCCCAGTAAGAAAGGTGGACTGTAAAAACAAATAAATAAATGTTGTTCATGTGAGCACTTATGTGCCTCTCATACAAGAATTAAGACAAACATATTAGAGGTCTAGGGAAGAAACAGAACTCCAGCAACTGACATCTGTAGAAAGAGAACTCCAGCAACTCAGCCTAGCAATAATTTAATAAAGCATCCCCCCAAAGCAGGAGCAGGTTCCTGAAACTGGATTGGCTGTCCAAGACCAGTTTCTCAACACCACATTTAATGATGATGATGATGATGATGATGAACGGATGTGTTTGTCAAGCCCATGATTATATTGCAAGTGCAGTACCACAGTGTATAATGCTGGGTTTGTAGTCACAACACTGGCAAAATTAAATGACCACCTGCTACCTATGAGCCCTATAGTGTTAGTGGTATGTTTGATTACAACATGGCTTGTAATGGAAAGCGTGATCTCGAATGTAAAGGGGTGATCATCTATACAAACAGATGGAGGCAAAATAGGGAAAATCCTAAAGTCTTGGACATACTGCAGGATAAACCTGGAAATAGCTCTCACAAGACCGAACACCAAGTTTCCATATCTCACCCCCACTACCCCAGCTATTTTTATTTGGTTGCAGAAGAGATTAAGCCTCTTCCCCTTACTGCCTTTCTGTTCCTTCCCTTTTATCCAGGCATTTATATTATCTTAGATAGTATACTTAGACATGTGTTTGATGAGATATCATCTTGCTTTGTTCCCTACCCCAAAGGCACCTACATGTTTAAGAATCCCACGTGTTGGTTTCTCCCTCCTGTAAATTTGCTGGGAAGTCATGGAGCCAATCAGATGTTATGATTTATATTTCTTAAGATTTCCTGCCCAGAAGCAATGGGTTGGAAGGAAATCCATAGTAGGCAGAGAGCAGCCCTGAATGCCAGATCAAACTGTGAGCTGAACTAGTGTGGCAACTCCTGTATGAAAGGAAAAGGACAATTATGTGAATGATGAGCAACTTGTAAAACTTCAAACAAGATTATTCCAATGTGCCACTCTCTGAAATGGAAGGGAGCTGGTGCCAGGGCAGGATGTCTGAGGATGCCAATCTGAACAAAGTGTGCCTTTCGATGTGAAATCCTTAATCCTGCTTGATGGCCTGACCTGTTATATAATCTTGCAGGCTTGTTATTGTGAAATGAATGAGGTGTTGCCGTTCTCACAAGAATAGAGGCCCAAGAGCTTAAAAATTCTGTGGTATTCCTGTAAATGCACAACAGAGGCTCATAACTAAGGTTGGATGTACTCAACACTGAAAAATAAAATTGATTTCCATGGAAGTAAAAGCAGAATTCTGTGACTTGTGTAAATTATACAAATGTGTCAGGTTTGCATCTTTTTGGTTATTCTGCACAATTCTGTTAGTTGAGAAGAAGGGGCAGAGCCCCCAAACATTTTCTTCTGTGAAACTCCTTTTCAACCTGTTTGCTGGCTTCTTACATTCCCAAGCCTATTTTCATGTTATGGGCAAAAGACATGAGCAGTGTTCCCTCTAAGCTGAGTTAGTGTGAGATAGCTCAGTTTTTTAGCCTCTGGATCACACGTTTTTCTCTTAGCTAATGAAGGATGGCTCCAGAGCAAAGTAATTTATGCAGTGGCCAAATCACTTGCTCACAACTTTAACGCCAGTAGCTCACAAAGCAGAATTTTTGCTCACAAGGCTCTGCAGCTTGGAGGGAGCATTGGACGTGAGGCTTAATCCGTTCCTTTGTGCGCACCAATTTTTCCATCTTCATTTCCCTGAAGAATGACTCTTAAATGTTCTCAATGTTCTGTGAACAAAAAGCTTTGCAGGGTTTCTTTGGGGGGGAGGGGGAAGTTTCTTCTTTTTTAAAAAAAACCAATACCATCTGTATATCTTGGAAGTCCCCTAAATATAAAGAAACCCCAGTCCTGTCTGTGGAGGGGTTTTTCCATTGCCCTGGTGAAGTTTGCTATTAGAGGGAACAAGCTGAGTGCCCATGAAGAAGTGTGTGTTTATGTCATTTATACTTCACTTTTCCCCTAATGGGGACCACAGTGGCTTACAACATTCTCCTCTGTGACGTAGCTTAGGCTGAGTGTATCCAACCAGCCCAAAGTTACTGGAACAGGCCTTTTCTACCAACTGAGGGGACCAACACATTCTCTTACGATTCTGAGGAACCAGGTTTGTTTTAAACTGTAAACCTCCCCCTCAGTTACCAGATTTCTTAAGGTAGCAAGTGTAAAGGCTTTGGGTTCACTGGTGTGAGGTAGGCTTTGTGGTGAGCAAGTAGAACATGGAGATTACCGAGGCAGGAGTTGTATGTAAACAACAAAGAAGATTGTTGGTTTTACAGAACAGAGCAGCAGCACAGGTCTACAGGTTGTTGAAAGAGAAAACCTGGTTGAGGCACATAAATTTAAGCTAGTTACGGCTTCAGAGTGTGCTTTGAATTTTCTTCAATGCTTTCAGGTACAAACTGGCTTTTACTGACTAGCCACTAGGTTCGATCCTCTCTCGCACATAGGATTCCACCCACACCAGCCTGTCCTTTCCCAAGAGTCAGACTAAATGGTACATGGTCTGCTCACCATCAGAGACAGCCAAACAATCGGGTACTCTATTCTCTCCCTGAGGAACAGCTAAACCTATCTTCCAGGCTACCAGGCAGAGCTATCCAGTCTGGTGTAGTGGTTAAGTGCGTGGACTCTAATCTGGGAGAACCGGGTTTGATCCCCACTCGTCCATGGAGAATAAGTCTATCAATGTCCATGGTGCCTGAGGGGAGCCTCCACATTCAGAGGCACTAAATCTCTGAATCCCAGAGCCAGGAGGCAACATCAGGGGAAGGCCTCAGCCTCTATGCCCTGTGGTTGGCTGTCCAGAGGAAGTAGTTGGTCACTGTGTGTGACAGAATGCTGTACTAGATGGACCATTGGTCTGATCCAGCAGAACTCTTCTTATGTGCTTGAATTCAAATCACTCATCTAGGCATCTATATTTTAGTAGCTTAAAATGGCCCATTTCCCCATTCGTTCCCTCTCCCTTTCATTGTCCACTGTTTTCAGCATCTCTTGCCTCCTAGCATTTGCTCAGTTCTTGTTCAATTTTGGGGCGGTGGTATTATTTTATTTTGATTTGCCACATCCTATTTTTCTGCTTTCTCAGGGAGCACCCACTGTATTTAGAAGCCCGTACACTGTCTGTGGATGGGCCAGTTTACCTGCTGTCATGATTGACACAAGCCACCCACTTTACTGTTATAGAAAAAAAATACCCCTGGAATTCTTTGGGGCAACGTGCAGTCAAGCAATGACACAATCTTAATGCAATCATTGTTACACAGATACTTCATGCATCTTTTCTTTTTTTTTTACATCTAGCTCAGGCCTCATTGGTTTTCTCTTCATGTTGCGGGCCTTGGTATCTGCAAATTTCAATACCATCTACATTTATACAGCAGAGGTAAGAATTTTTTAAATCCATGATTTATAGAGGGAAGCGAGTCATAACTGGAGGAGTGGGGGGCTCAGTAGTCTGCAAATGTTTTTATAAAAAAAGGTAAAGGTTTCCCCTTGCTCGAAAGCCAGTTGAATCCGACTCTAAGGGGCGGTGCTCATTTCCGTTTCCAAGCCAAAGAGCCAGTGTTGTCTGATGACTTTTCTGTGGTCATGTGGCTGGCATGACTAAATGCCGAGGTGCACGGAACGCTGTTACCTTCCCACCAAAGCGGTACCTATTTATCTACTTGCAACTTCTTGCTTTCGAACTGCTAGGTTGGCAGGAGCTGGGACCAGAGACGGGAGCTCACTCCGTCATGCAGCACTCAGGTCTCGAACTACTGAACTACCGACCTTCCGGTCTGCAGCTCAGCGTCTTAACTTACCTTTCCCTAATAAATGGAGAGTCCTATTTATAAGAGTGGAGTTCATTCATTAGGACTCATCATGACTAACTAGAGCAGGGGTGTCAAACATAAGGCCTGAGGGCCGGAACCCGCCTGTCCAGAGCTTTTATGCAGCCCACGAGCAACTGATGCAAGGGAAGAAAAAGAGATTGGATTTATGCCCCGCCCTTCACTACCCAAAGGTGTCTCAGAGCGGCTTACAAACTTCTTTCCCTTCCCCTCCCCTCCCCACAGCAGATACCCTGTGAGATAGGTGGGGCTGAGAGAGACTGACAGAAACTACTCTTTTTCAAGAACAGCTATGCCAGAACTACGGCTTGCCCAAGACCATCCAGCCGGGCGCAAGTGGAGGAGTGGGGAATCAAACCCGGTTCTCCCAGATTAGAGTCTGCACACTTAACCACTACACCAAACTGGCTCTCAGGGAGGGGATGCCGGGGGGATTGGGTGGAGCTGGGGTGGCTTCAGCACTCCATTGTGGCTTCAGCATGGCAGAGCAACCTCATCTGCAGCAGTTAAGCATTATGGGAACGTCTGCCCAGCACTGCACAGCTGCCTCTCCAGTCTGCCTATGTGGGTTTTCCTCTGCACCCTCCTCCCAGCCCATGGGGCCTTGCAGTGAGAATAGGCCAACTCAGAGCTCACCAGCTGCTGTCCTTTACACAGTTTCTGTCTCCAGCACTTTGCATGATGTTTTATAGCACACATGACCGGGCCCAACAAAATGACATTTATGTCAGATCTGGCCCTTGTAACAAATGAGTTTGACACCTCTGAACTAGTTTTGTACACAATCAGCCTGAACCAGATTTATTTTGGGACTTGTGCTCTCCTTACCACCTCTCAACTGCTAACTGAAGACTTCTGGTTTAGGAAACCTGCAATCTACATTAAAATTGTTGACACATCGTAATGAAGGCATCTTAACAAATGGGGACTGCTTTCTTTTCTGGGAACTGCAATTCGAACCCAGGATACAACTGTAACTTAGACTCCCATTTGTTGAAGTGCGTACATTTGGAATTCACAACAAATTGGAATAAAAGTAAACCAGGCAGACTTTGACCTTGGGGCAAGCATGAGCAGCAGCAGGAGGGAATCTGCAAACCCAATAATAAGCTAGGTTCATGTTCTTTTTGCACAAACTCGTTATGATAGAATGCAGCTAAACTCATCTATATTACTCCCATTTGCAGAAAGTATTGACATCTCTAAATCATTTGCATACACACTGAACTGGATTATGAAGGGGTTCCTAGGAGCTGGATACAGCATCGCACAGGAAGTGACATCATAATGCCAGCAACTTCTGGATGATGCTTTGGTATTTCAGCAAACCCTGTATAGTAGAAGCTGGTTTTACCATAGAGTTTTTGCCCAAGTGCCAGAGTGTCACTTGGAAGACACTGGTGTAATTATGGCACTTCCTGTGCAATTCAGCAACATGGCCTAGGGGCCTTTCTCTTTCTCCTGGCAAGTGCCCTCCCATCCCCTGCCAGTTGCCAGGACGGACCTGGCACCGGTAGACTGTCCTCTTGAGTAACAAAGCACAAAAGCAAACAACTGGGGTAGATTTTGACCCTTTATTACAATTTGATTACAAATTCAGGAAATCTGAAGTTTGGATGTTTGCCCAAATGTCTTTTCAACTGTCAAAAAATAGTTGAACTTAAAGTTCCAAAATACCAAAAACAAACATTATTTTGGATAGTGCAAAACTTTAATGTGGCAGGGCTTAGAGAGTCTCATTAGTAGCATTGGAAGTTGCAGTAAACTAGTATGATACTTGCAAAAGTGACACACTTTTGAGTCCCACTACTTTCAACACAAGAGGTTTAAGCATAATTATTAACTCTTCCCCCACTGAAATCATTGGCACTCAAAGGCAGCTGAACTTTGGCTGGGCTATGCAAAAATATTTCTTACGAACAACGAAATTTTCAGAGTTTTTTGTACTTCTTGTGCCTGGGCAACAATTTCTATTCTGACACCTTCTGAGGAGTTCAGTCGCTGGCCAGATGACAGCCCAATCTCTGGGTTGGGAAATTGTTGTTGTTGTTCAGTCGCACAGTCGAGCCCGCCAGGCCCTCCTGTCTTCCGCCGTCCTCTGAAGTTTGCTCAATTGGTTGGGAAATACCTGGAGATTTTGGGGGTGGAGCCTCAGGAGGGTGGGGTTTGAGGAAAGGAGGCACTTCAATGGGGTGTAATGCCATAGAGTCCACCCTCCGAAGTGGCCATTTTTCCCAGGTGAATTGATCTCTGACACCTGGAGATCAGTTGTAACAGCAGGACTTCTCCAGGTGCCACGTGGTGGATGACAACCCTAAACTGAACTTCCACCCAATGGTTCATCTGTACCCATCTTGTGGCCTTGTCTCTGGAGCGATCTGTTTCCAAAGCTTCATACCCAGCTGTAGTTTTCTTTAACTTGCTCTGTTCTAGAGCACAGGCCTGAATAACTGACTTCGAAATTGTTCTCTTCCAGGTTTATCCTACTTCAATGAGAGCTCTGGGACTGGGGACTAGTGGATCTCTGTGTCGCATTGGTGCTATGGTGGCACCTTTTATAGCACAAGTAAGATAACGTCTTTTTAGTAAACTGAGTGTGCTCTTAAAAATAGATGCTAGGCAAGCAAGTTCAGATAAATCATGTAGGCTGTGTTTCATTTCCAAATAACTGTGAATTCAGGCTTAAAAAAAAAGGTGAGGAAGATATGTTGAAGTTATGGAGGAGTTTCCCAGCCACAGTAATATTATAATTTTCAACACAATTAGAACTTATACAGAATGGAGTTTTGGTTGCAGCACTGAAAAATTGGTAAAAGTGGACTGACAGATGTCTTCCAGCGATGCACCTCGCAGGAAAGCTGTAGACGTTGCGTTGCCACTGCCCGCGTGGAATGAGCTTGAAGCTGTCCAGGGAGCGGCTTCCGTGCCAGTGAATAACAAAGTTTAATAGTCTCCACAATCCACTTGGATAAACGCTTGGGAAGGCAACCTGTGAGAGATAAACAGCGCTGGAGACTTACGGAAAGGCTTGGTTCTTCCCAAATAAAATAAGAGCGCTCTTAACATCCAGAGAGTGCAATCTGCGTTCTTCCTCATTGGAGGGAGATGGAAAAAACGTAGGAAGAACTAGGTCATTACGCAAATGAAACTCTGACCAGGGAATGGGCGTGAAAATCCCTTTTTGCTTGCTAACGATACCGAAGGTCAGCGCGGCGCAGACTATCCCAAGGGTGTGATGCACAGAGACCACAAAGAAGATCCAAAGCTTCATACCTAGCTGTAGTTTTCTTTAACCTGCTCTGTTCTAGAGCACAGGCCTGAATAACTGACTTAGAAATTGCTCTCTTACAGGTTTATCCTACTTCAATGAGAGCTCTGGGACTGGGGACTAGTGGATCTCTGTGTCGCATTGGTGCTATGGTGGCACCTTTTATAGCACAAGTAAGATAACGTCTTTTTAGTAAACTGAGTGTGCTCTTAAAAATAGATGCTAGGCAAGCAAGTTCAGATAAATCATGTAGGCTGTGTTTCATTTCCAAATAACTGTGAATTCAGGCTTAAAAAAAAAGGTGGTGAGACAGATACGTTGAAGTTATGGAGGAGCTTCCCAGCCACAGCAATATTATAATTTTCAACACAATTAGAACTTATACCGAATGGAGTTTTGGTTGCAGCACTGAAAAATTGGTAAAAGTGGACTGGGTTGGGAGAAGGGCAACTAGAGTGATAAAGATTCAAGGATATTTTATTCCTATTTTCATTCAATGTGCATCAAAGAAGATGTGAGGAAAACTGTAGGGTCATATGGCAGAGGATCCCCATAACAAATAATTCTGACAAGCACTATTGGCAATAGTTTTGGCAAACATTACTGGAAGGTATTCTGTTGAGCAAATACGCTGGAGAAATATTGCAGATTCTCAAGTTCCGACATAAAATTTTACCTGAAATGTGTTTACCTCTAGTCAAGAGCGAAAGGGTATGATCCAGCCCAAACTAAGCACAGATCCTTTTTCATTCAATGAAAACAATTCAGCACATTGTGAACTCACTCATTGAAATTGATAGGGTTTTTTTGAGCTTTGTCCTAATAGAACAAGAAAAATGCTGATTCTGGTGTGGGGAAGAAGCAATCTTGCCACAGTGTGCAATAGCCAAAATCTACAGGCATGCTTCAACCCACTAGATTTATATATGCCTCTTGTGCTGTGCTATAGCCAGAGTAATTACTTTTGATGAAGCTAGAAGGGGATTCCTGTAGTTAAACTTAAAAAAAAAAGTTTGTTGCATTACAGCATTTGTACTAATTGTTTATTTCTAGGTGCTCATGAATGCTTCTTTCTTGGGAGCGCTTTGCCTGTTTGCTTCCGTCTGTGTTGTATGTGCAGTCTCAGCTTTTACTCTACCCATAGAGACCAAAGGAAGAGCACTTCAGGTTGGTAAACCACCAAGGAGAGAGAACAAAGCTCCTGGCCTTGCAAAGGGTTCAAGGGGCATCTTCCCCTGAACTTCCTAAAAAATGTAAAGCCAGGAGCCCTATAACAGCCACCTGTCAGAAACTGACAATCTTAAATGTCACTTAGAGAGAGAAAAACAATCCTTTCTACATGAGCCAAGTACAAGTGGCCTTGGCCCTCAAGGGAGATTCATACGCTAAAGTGGCCTTCTAGGTGCATAGCTGATGGAGGTTTCTCCAAATAACACAATGCTTGCAAGACAAATTTTTGGGTGAGCAGCCATACAAAGAGCGTACAGTGGATGTTCAGTATTCACAGGGATCTGTTCAACGATCACAATGAATGGTAAAAGTTGCAAATACTGGGTGGCAGGGTTCTGCTGCCTCCCAATAGCAAAACAGACACATTTCCCACCAAATTTAACGGTGCAATGATTATTAGGATCATGGTGTCATAGGAGTAAAAACAGGCTGGGAAATGCATCAAATGAACATACTGTAAATAAGTCAGGTCAGAAATCATGAGTCTGTGAATGGTGATTGACTGCAATGTTAGGATTTTCAGGTACTAACATATAGCCTGCAGGAATGATAAACTCCAGTTTCCATCTTTTAAAAGTGAATCAATAAAAAATGTACATGAGCTAGTTGGATATGAACAATCCACAACAATAATGAAAGGCACTGAACCACAAAGCAAACTGTTTACGCAATAGTTAAATGCCATTTTTTTAAGCGTTAAGTTCTAACCATGAATTGGAACTACTCCCGCCCCCAAACATTTTGCATTAAGGACAAAAGTAAGATAGATAACTCCCTTGTGTACTGAAAGTGCTCCATAAATAGTAGACTACAATTTGATAGCTGCTTTGGGTTGCAGTGCTAATATTGATCTGAACCAAATTAAAGTCCTCCATCACTGGACTGCAGCTGTGATTCTGAAAGATTTTCTGCACCAGGACCACAGTGGCATGGTATACTAACCCTCCACATTAGCACGTGAACCCACTTGCCATGTATACTACGTGATTTTTCTTCATGCCACTTCAAACTTTAAGAGGAAAGTAGGAAAGATGCCGAAATAGAAAAACCCACCCAAAGGATCACAGATGCTGGGGATAATAGGACCTTCATGGATAAAAGTCATGTAAGACATGGGCCATAGTAAGCAGAACTGGGTGAGACTGAGTGAAAAAGGTGGCTGGATCCAACCCCTTAACAGTATTAAATGTTAGCTACAAAGCTGACACATTTTCTGTGCAATTGTGGTGAGCTGTTAAACTCGAGTTTTTTAAAAACTTCCTTTCTAGCAAACAAAATGAAGACGCTAATGCTGGAAAAAGGCAAGATAAGGAACCTGTTAAAATGATCCAATTGACAGGAACCATTTTCCAAGATAACAAGAACTGTGTGCTTTCTGATATGCCTTTCCCTAAAAACGTATATCGCATTGTAACCTGGTTCCCTTCCCTTAAATAAAATAGCAAAAATAAAACATGCCTACTGTCATGTTTAAAACAGGGCTGGTTTCTATTCCAAGACTGCTTTTGGTACAGGAGCCAAAAATTTGAAGGGAAGAAAAATTTTAAAAATACATGGAATACTTAATCTTTTGCTTTAGCCTGACTGATTTCTCTGGATTTTAGCCAAGGTGATGGGGGTTTGTATATAAAATGGAAAAAAAGCAGAAAAGCAACTGATCAGAGCAATGGTTCAGGCACATTTTTGTGCTATACTGAAGATCAAACTATACAGTCACCAAGAACAGACATGCTCTTTACTGCACTAGGCAACCAATGTGTTCGTAATGAAAGAAATCTCAAAGCATCTTAACACAACATGTTTCAGCTGCTAATTCAAGAAAAGCAGAGTGATTACTTCTAGTTTACTAGGCAGGCACAACGCAGAGATCATGAGATAAAAAATTTCCTTTGCAGAAGACACTATGAAGCTGAATTAAGGTTTTTAGATGTTAGGCAGCAGAAAACTACTAACTGGTACAAGTTTTGTTTTTAATATGATTAAAATAAGACTCATTTAAATACTTTTCAAAGTAATTTAATTCATTTTTTCCACTCCTTACATTTTAGCACACAAGTAACTCTCTAGGGGCAACTACAATTCCATTGTACCAATCAGAATCCTAGGACAATATCAAATCATGTTCTCCCCCCCACCCATCCCACCCCCCAATGGCTATGTACAGACAACTGAAATTACGGCCAGTCACATGCCTTTGGTAAACTAATGTCTGGTGGATTCACATTCTCTTGAAAACAGCAAACGCCATTAAATTCAATTCCATTTTTTTTTTTTTACAAATCTTTTTTAAATAAAAGATTTGAACAACAGTCCCTCTGGAGTGGTGGAAGAATGAGCTTCCAAAGAGGATAAATTTTATAGAAATATTCTAAGGTCTCCTAGATGCTTCAATTCTTGGTAGTACGAAGCAGCGAAGTATGAGTCTCAGTCCACAGATGTAGAAATCATCTCAAAATTTCCTCCAGAAAATGAATGTTGATAAATATCAAATTAAGAAAAAACACCCTCTTAGCAGTTGACACAACCAGTTCATTTAAAAAACTGACGTTCTTCCCCTTTGAGGCGTTTCTTTCGGGGCTGTACAAAGTCATCATCTGAGTCATCTGTTAAATCTGGACTACGTCTATTAGCATGGCAATAGGGTTGGGCAGGGAATTTCCTGTCAGGATAAATGCTCTTCAGAAGTTCCTCAAAGTAAGCTTCCAGTTTCATGCCAGCATCAGCCACTTCTGAATCAGGCTGTTGGAGAAATTCAACATACCGTCAGGTTTTCACATTTGCAGTACCATGACATTAAAAATAGACTCTTCAAATTAACAGTCAAGATGGAATAATTTGTGTTTCTTTTAAGGGAAGGGGGACCCAACACTAACAGCTCTTCTGTAACAAGGGCATTGTGGAAATACTACTTTATGCAGACAGTGATTAAAATGTGGCATTCACTGCCAGAAGATGTAGTGATGGCCACAGGAATAAAAAGCTTTAAAAGGAGATTAGATAGATTCATGGAGGGTAAGTCTATCAATGGCTACTAGCCATGGTGACTGAGGGGAACCTCCATATTGAAAGGCACTAAAACTCTGAATCCTAGAGCCAGGAGGCCACATCAGGGGAAGGCCTCAGCCTCTATGCCCTGTTGTTAGCCCTCCAGAGGAACTGGTTGGACTAGATGGACCGACCTTTGGCACTTACCGTGAAGGGCCCTTCTCCTCTGAGGTTAGGAGGACATCTCCATAGGTTAGTCCCATCATTGGGAGGCAGGAAATATTTTTTCTCCTTCCTGTTGGCGCCTTGGGAATAGCCCTCCCCCTCAGTTCTGGGACTCCGTAAGCAGTGAGTATCGACTAAGGCTAACTCCCCTGCGCCAAGCAGGTAAACTTCCAACATTAATGATAGAACTATAAAACAGTAGGCTACCCGGACAAGGTTTTGGCAACCCTTATGGCCTCAAGAAGGCAGTCCACCATTTGCATTGATAATACTACTTGGAAGGAGTTTGTGTGGTGGACTAGGAGGAAGAAGCTGGATCCTCTGTCTCCTACAATGGTGGATGTCCTTTCCTTTTTACAAGACGGTTTGGATTCCGGCTTGTAGGCAGCCACCTTACGACGGCAAGTGGTGGCATTATCAACCATCCTTCCTCACATAGGAGGATACAGGATGACCAAGCACCCCCACATACAGCTGTTTCTACAAGGGGCAACAGCCAAGCCGCCTCAGATACACAGGTTCCCAAACTGGAGGCTACACACGGTTTTGACAACCCTTACCAAAGCGCCATTCGAACCTCTCAGGGAAGTCAGAATGAAGTGGCTCTGGATGAAGACGTTATTCCTGGTGGCGATAACCTCAGCATGGTGGGTCTCAGAGCTGGGTGCTCTATCAGTAAAGGCCACGCTCTGCATCTTCCACAAGGATAAAGTGGTACTTAGGACCGATCCCACCTTTCAGCCAAAGGTTTCTTCCGCTTTTCATTGTGCTCAAGAGATCTATTTACCTACTTTCTGTCCAAAGCCACAACATCCCAGAGAAAGACTATGGCACACCCTTGATGCCAGACAGGCATTAAAGATTTACATTGTGCGCACTGAATCTCTACGAAAAACGGACTTCATGTTCATCAACATCTCCTTTCCACATACAGGAAATCGTATGTCCACGGGTTCCATCAGCGCAGTCCTTAGGTCATGCATCACAGAGGCCTACAAGGCGTCGGGAACGGAAATTCCCAAAGGGATAACAGCCCATTCCTTGAGAAGTGCGGCAACCAATGTGGTGTTCACGAATCGAACTTCTGTCGAGGAGGTCTGCAGGGCCGCTACTTGGACGTCGGTATCTACCTTCATTCGTCACTACAAGCTAAACACAATTGCGTCAGCCGCCGCAGCATTCGGAAGAAGAGTCCTTCAGCACATTCTCCCTTCGGCTGGCGATGATGACCCACCCATTTAAGGGACACTGCTTTTGGAGGTCCCATGGAGATGTCCTCCACCTCAGTGGGAGAACGACCTTTGGCACTTACCGTGAAGGGTCCTTCTCCTCTGAGGTTAGGAGGACATCTCGGCCCTCCCACTTTCATCATCGTCCTTTTTCCTGGGTTTCTCTGTGCTGTTCTCTTCTTCTTCTTCTTCTGTGTTCTTGTTCTACTGTTTTATAGTTCTATCATTAATGTTGGAAGTTTACCTGCTTGGCGCAGGGGAGTTAGCCTTAGTTGATACTCACTGCTTACGGAGTCCCAGAACTGAGGGGCAGGGCTATTCCCAAGTCGCCAACAAGAAGGAGAAAAAAGTATTTCCTGCCTCCCTAAAGGAACGATGGGAATAACCCATGGAGATGTCCTCCACCTCAGTGGGAGAACATTGGTCTGATCCACCAGGGCTCTTCTTACATTCTTATGGCATACAATTTCTTGTAAGTCAATAGCATGTACAGTAAGTACAGAGTAAGCATTTAAGCCCACTGGAACTTCCTATCACTAGAGGTGGCCAGTTCCTTGGTTAAGGTATCTTAAAAGAACTTGTTCATCAGGAGTGTCAGAAGACTACCTCCGCCAACGCCAGCCTTAATGTGAGAGAGATTTAATTTCTCTCCTCCATCTGGGTATTCCCTATTGCTATTAAATGTGGTGGATGTAGAATGGTGTACTATAGCTCAATCTCGTCTTGGAAGCTAAGCAAGGTTGGTACTTGGATGGCAGACCACCAACAAATTTTTTTGCATAGGATGGCAATGGCAACCCACCTCTGTTTACTCACTTGCCCTGGAAACCATATGGGGTCATCATAAATCAGCTGAGACTTGATGACACTTTACATGTGCTCACACATCAATTAAAGAATTTTTTGATTCAGCTCTGTCATGTAATATCTTGGTCAAATCTAAATGTTCTGGATGGCTTTTGTCAGGCTAATCATTATAGAAGTTTGCACCTGAGAATCATAGGTTTCTAATTATACTCATAATCTCTCTTTCTAAATATATTTTTCTCTTGTCCTTGACTGAATACCAGTCTCACTCTTCTGATACTCCTTTATACGTTATTTTAGTTTCCCAGTTAATGTATTTCCTGTATTCTGAAATTGTCAGACACCTCTTCAATTGTATTCAAATGTATTTCCTGTATTTTGAAATTGTCGGGGAATCAAAATCTCCTGGATATTCCAGGCCCCAGGAACATCAAGTTTGCAGTTACCAGGGCCAGGGCGTTTTCGGTGGCGGCTCCTACCTGGTGGAATGAGCTCCCAGAAGAGATCCGGGCCCTGCGGGACCTGGTTCAGTTCCGCAGGGCCTGTAAAACAGAGCTCTTCCGCCAGGCTTTCGAGTAGGAGCCGCTGCCACCATCATCCGCCATCATTATTCCATCTGCGCCCCCTTTCTTCTTAATTCCGCAAATTGACCATCTCTGGAGCGGACAATACCAGGGGCATGAGACGTTCCTGGCAGATGGGACGTATATTGTTGTTATTGTATATTATTATCACTACTGTTTGTTGCTTAGCATAAATTATCTTGGAACCCCATCTTGAATCTTATAGTTAAATATCCTTGGAGCACCGTGGAAGGAATTTTTAGTGAATTGTATTTATTGTATTTTATACTGTTTTGTGTTGTTTTATTGTTTTAACCTTGGCATTTATGCCCCTTGTGAGCCACCCTGAGCCTTCGGGGAGGGCGGGATATAAATTTAAAAATAAATAAATATAAATAAATAAATAAACTACCTCATGGACGCATCAGATATTAACCAGAAAGAGGTATTCACTGACCTCGACCTGCAGCAGGCTCATTAATAGGCCTGCTAGCCGTTTTCAGCACTGGGTTGCTGACAGTCTTTGTGAGAACCCTCACATAATTCTGGCCAGAGGTCATGAAAGAGGAGAGCTGCAATTATATTCCACACACAACAACAAGCTGTGTCCCTCTCAAACTACCGTAGCACCGAGAATCAGATTCCCTGACAAAAAAACCCTTCCTTTCCTAGACGTTTGTGTGTGTGCACGCACATGATAGTATTTCCTAACCTCATTAAATTCAGCACAGTTTTGGAAGATCTGTCGGAAATCAGCTACAACATCTTCTGGTTTTGTGTACGATGGGTGATGGGCTTGCAATCTATTTTTGATTGTTGACAAGTCCATTGGCTTCTTAATAATTTTGTAGTAGTCAGGCACCTAAGGAGAAATATACCAGTATTCTCAGAAATTGCCCAATGTATTTTCTGCGAAACTGAACACCTGAAATTCAGAACTTCAACAACTGAATTCGGTTCATATATGATTTCCATAATTAATTAAAATAAATTGAAGGAATCTATATTAGATACTAATTAGCTCCATATTATTTAGCTCAACTGTATGCTCTACAGTTCTCACAGCCATTGTACTCCACTTAATTCTGCAATCACCTCAACATAGTAAGTCCCCAATGAGGCCCTTGAAGCCCAAACATGCCCTTGAAGGCAACGTTAGAATAGCCACCGTTGTACAACTTGTTCTAGCATACATCACACATCTTTATACAGTCATTTGTTCTAACATGTGAAGAGCTCCTATAGCTTAATGAGCTGCTCCATACGAAGTTCACAGTGAAGCACAGTTGGAATTTAACAGTGGGGAAAAAAATCCTTTTGTGCCTGGGATACAGTCCAAAAATAAAACTGAGGGAAAAACTGAAAGGCAAAAAAGAAAATGCATATAAAAAGCACAACTAACTCAAACTATAGCAAATAATCTATATGATAGAAGACAGACATGCTTCTCTAATGACACTTGTATACAAACACTCTGCTATTTATTGCCACATGAGGATACTTGAATGGTACTCAATTACTTGAGAGATACTCAGTTACCAAAAAAGAAAAAAAAATCAACCCCAAATGTCCAAAATACAATACAGAAGAAAGAAGTGATAAACAAATATAGTGGGGTGGCTCCAATGCAGTTTCTGCAGGTGCAAGGACTCTCGGAGGTATTTTGGGGT